AAATACCCGAATGTACGCTTCGCAAATGAATTCCTGAATCTGATCACAAATGCAAATGACGTAAATCAACACAGATGACTTCCATTTGCAATCGGAAAAGGAAGAACAGTCGACAATACATGCCTTTTATGGAGTTATTTAAGCCAGAAAATCAAACTTTCATATTCATATTGATTTCGGGGGAAGGAAACGCGATGAAGAAAAACTATTGATAACCGAAGTAGCATCTGAAGAAGGGAGAAGATAACTAGCAAGCTAATATCGTTGAATTTGATTGCTGTTCACAGAAAACCCTGGGAAAATTAAGCCAGTGGTTCGAGGAAACCCGAACTTAGAGAACATTCTCAGTTTTCGAAAGATTAAGGCGATCAAATGTTTGTAGTATGCTGAAGACGTATACGCTTACGTTCCACGAGAAGCAATTTGGTATTTTATGAGCGGTCAGCAATATGCTGAGAGAGCGCCGATTGGTTTCAGCAGCTTCACTTCACAACTTCCAAATCTGATTCCTGTTTTCATTCGGGGTCATCTTTTCTCGATATTTTCACAAAATTCCAAAGAATCCGTTTGATCATCTCAACCTGTTTCTTCGTTTTTTTGACTGAATGCATTCAAGTCCAATTTCTAACTGAACCTACAATTGTGGTACGCAATGTGCCATCTTCTTGAACGGACGTTGAATCCTATCACGATTTCCGATCAGTCTCATACATCTAATCGAACCAGATGGTCGATCCCGATGTCCTGAATGAAATGACCCTTTGCAATTTATAAGTGAAAGTTGAGGTTTCAGTTGAGGTTCTATTTTCTTGCAGGTGGATCAATCGTTCCACGTCAACAAGCAGGCTTAACAACGACTGTCTCTCGTAAAAATCCATTCGAGTTATTGGTTGCCCTTGGTAAGCGACAACTTTTCGCGCATAATCGAGGATTACCATATGATCATATCCGATACCTACAGAAACCTATCCCAACGCAAACTCCTAAAAATTAATGGTTTCTATTGTGTTTACTTGCTTCATTCGAAGGAATCACCAATTACAGACGAAAATCTGCAAGCAAAAGGAAACCTTCTATGGGATGACGGTGAAAGTATTGTGGAAAATTTCAAGACGCATAATTACATTGAGTTGGAATTCAGTATAAAAAGTGGCTTAACGACAACATTGACTATAAAACGACTCTCGAAAGGAGTAAGTAACACTCAATCAGACTTTATACATTTTATCGGCCACAACTAACGTTCATCTATGAACCCGAACGGAAATGTGCACGCAAAGTGGAGTGAATGGAATGAAACTTTCACTCCATTTCTTAAATTCAGCAAAACCCATTCAGCTACTTAAGATGTGAGAATTTCAACTAAATCAAAACGGAAATTCACTCAGGGGAATTCAATGTTCAACTCTTATTCAGTTGTCTTTCTATGGCTCTACTCTATCAAAATCTAGGGATTCGATTTTAATCCGAACGATAGTTCATTTGAGGAACAGAAATAAAGCAGTTATCTGATTGAGATTCAATATCGATGGCATTTCATCACGCATTCCTTGTAATACACTTCACTGATTAACAATAAAGTCAGTTGTGATTGATCTCATTTCAAATCCTCAGGTTATTGCGAACGTTCCAAAATTGACGACAATTGAGATATTCGGATATGACGAGCTAATCGATTACTCATCTGTTCGAAAAAACGGCAATGTTATGAAGACTGATTTCAAAAAATCTGTTTACGATAAATCGCGTAAACGTTTGTTGCTTGTGGCAGATGCGTTCTACGATTTCACAACTGATAAAGATGTTACAGTCACATGGAAAAGTTATCCGTGAGTCTATTTCATGTCGCATACCACGCTCGAAACTCATGAATTCACAAGAGTTATGAAGAGAAGACGCTTTTAACTGTTGTCGTTCACTTAAGGATAACTGATTACGTGCCTCCTCAGTCGAGAGTCAATTGTGCGCCTGGTCAGGACTGGCCAGATGGAACCGCATGCGAACAGCTAGGCTGTTTGTACGATGGAAGGGTCCGGGTAACTTTCACTTTAACCTTATCACTGACTGCTTTCAAAAAGACAGCTTGCTTCAGTTCTTTCATTTCTATCACATTTTCCTCATGATCTACTCACAGCCAATAGAAAACTCAATAATTTTGCATTCATTCACCTATTATGATAATCAGCGTCAATCAGCCGTTCACTATTAATTTAAAAAATCATACTTTCAAATTGAAAAATCTGAGAACGTTTGAGGCTCGAAGTAGTCGAAGGAAATGATTATATAGTAGACTGTTGTATATGCGATTGAATTTATTAATATGCATGTCGTAGAAATGTAAATGTTAGAAACTGGACCATATGTATAAATTAACGGTTAGTTCACATGAATTTTTGTCATCATAGCATAAAAGTGGTACAATTGAAGGATAATATTCCCAAATGTTACTTCCCGAAAAGAAGTGGCTACATTGCAACGAAGACTACAGCCGATCAGGTCTTTCTTAAGCCGTTTGATGGCGTCAAAAATCCTTTCGGAGACAATATAAGCCCCATTGAGTTTTCGACGTCTACGATTGATGGAACCACCACACGCATTCGTATTGGTACAACTGGAAGGTTTGATATTAAGTGTTGTGAAGCATTGAAATGAACGAAAATCAATGGCGTATTCCAAAAATAGTGTATTTATTCGCACAAAACGTAATTTCAGATTCGAGCCTCCATTATCAATACCTCGAAAGTCATTCAGCACGGGTGAAAAATTCGTAGTTGAGACTTCCGATAAAACAGGCGTTTTTTCGTTCAGCGTGAAGAGGTCGTCAACGAATCATTCTATTTGGGATACATCAATTGGCTAGTTTTTCAGAGATCTAAGATTATATTTTGACGCTATTCCTGAAGTCAAGTAGAAATTTTCATTCAATATGAAAGAGCATGCGACGTTCAGAATCACTGCTTGATCTGAAGCTTGTTTAAATGAACAAGGAATGAGAAGAGTTTCAACCGTTTAAACTTATGAAAAAGATACCTCTGGTGTTCGTATTGTCGGCATTGTGGAGCACGATGCAGAATATGCGAAACAGAACTGAACAGATCCA